TAAATATAGAAACATAAGCCCTGGAGGTTTTTTCCTCCAAACATGTCCCTCCCATCTTAGCATCATCTGTGCTATTCCTCCAGCTGCTCCTATACATGGCATGACCTTTTTCCCCCCCCTTCCCTTGCTTCCCTCTCCATCTCGCCCCTTCCCCGCCCATCCCTGCTCCCTTCCCTGGCCAGCACAGGGAGCCTGGGGCCAATCAGCCCTCCCAGGCGATCGAATGTCACTATAAGTTGCGAGCTGCATCACCTTGGGACGCTCGCAGATCCCAGCCTGCCCGTCCCCTCCGACAGGAGCTTGGTGCTTCTCTCCACTCCTCCCAGGTAAGTGGGGTCCCTGGCAAGGGGGCAACACCACAGGAGGGATAAACCTTGGTTTGAATGGAGAAGCACCAGGGGAGGGCTGGGTTCCTCGGGATCCTAAGGAAAAGGAACTTGCAGCTTTAGCTGAGCATCTCACAAGACTCATGTCACCCACAGAGGTTTGGGTGCTTTGGAGTCTCAAGGATTAGTAGTGGGAGCATAGATCCTTCCAAACCAAGATTTGGGACTGGAGATTGTTATCTCTGGGGCACTCAGGGGAAGTTCCCTCAAGCAGCAGGAAGAAAGTGCTGACGTTCCCTGCCCTGTCACCCAGGGAAATGGATGGCTGAGGCAGGAGGTATGGAGGGCAGACCACCAGGGAACTTCTGGTGGATGGAGAGGGCTAGGTCTAGACAGAGATCTGGGGAAAAAATATATGTGGCCATGGAAAAACTGTCCCCTCCCACAGGAATTGAGAAAATTGAGTTTTGCCTGGTCCGGTTAGCAAAGTGAAGGAGTTTGAAGTCATGAACATGGAGAGTATCCCATCAATACTCTGAATTTAACCCCCTCCTCCTGCCCTTCTGCACATACAGGGAATTTCTCTTGCAATTTTCTCATTTCCTGTGAGAGTGGAAAGTTTTCCATGAGCATATTTATATTTCTTAGATCAGCTTCTTGCTGTCAGATGGTGGGTATCCTATGGGGGCAGGAGGGACACCAGCACAGGTGACTCTGGGGGCAGCAATTTGGGTGGGAGCTGTGCCACTGATGGGGGGAGCTCCAGTGGGGCTGTAGGTGACTGCCAGGGCAGGCAGCCACCCCTCAGGGGGACAAGACTCAGGGAGGTGATGGGGCCCCAAGAGATGCTCAAGAAGCACCTGTCTGAGTGCTTTAGGGGTTACAGTGGGTGCCTGGTGGATGGTTGGACTGGATGATCTTGTTGGTCTGTTCCTACCTTGGTGATTCTAAGACCAAGGAAAGACAGGGGATGTGAGCTGTGAGCTGGGCACAGTCATTGGCTTTTTGTTCTCTGTCTTGGCTTTGTTATCCCTAGAAAACCCCTTGCAGGGATCAGACAGCTCATACTACCCTGCAGATTAGGATAAACAGCGCATTTTGGGACAGGGAGTTGGGATTTTGCTATGACCCTGCAGCACTGCTGGAGTCCTGCTACTCAGTTTCAGCATTAGAGAGAAGTATACGCATATGTTTATATACTTATTAGAAATCGTATCAAAAGAGATAGGTATTGTATATAATATATGTATGTATATTAAGAAATCCCTGCAGTGGGTTGGCAGTGGCTCCTGCTGGGCAGAGTGGCTGTGTGGTGCTTGGTGGATCACAGCCCATCCTTGCCCCAGAGCTGTCCCTGCCAGGCCCCATTGCCCATGCATGGCCACTCCTGTGCTGCCCCCTTTCCATGCGGCTCCTGCCACCTTGCCTACCTTGTATGGCCTGGCTGGGGAGGGGATGATTGATGGCTGGGTTATTTCCAGGGATGGCCTGGAGGTGCAAGGCAGCCCGTTCCCCCTCCCGGGTGCATTCTCAGCTGCTAAGAGGCTTCTTGGGATGTGCTGGCTCTGCTCTTTCAGCTGAGGCCAGGAGCATTCGGGGCCAAAAGGGACACGGTATTCCTGCCCACCTGGGGCTAAGGGTTGGTGTATTTGTCCTTCCAGTGACCTGCCTGGCTTGGGCAAAATGCAGAATAACCTTTGCTTTCACCTTTTAGGGGTGGGAGCAGGCAGGAAGTTGTCCGTCCGGTGAAACTTTCCCATGTGTTTTGATTTCCTTCCAAAGGGTGGGCAGCATTAACTAATTGATTTTATTACATCCTTAAACCTCAGTCAAGACCAGAATCCATTTTTCTGCCACTATACAAACAAAGCCCAATTATTGCCTGAAGGTGCTAACAGCCTTAATCCTGGGCTGCATTTGCTGTGTGTAAAGTAATTTCTACCAAAGGCTAATCCCGAGCCAGCTGGAGACTTTCCATTGCCTTCGGGCAAACTTAATCCTAACTGCAAAAACTGCCGCTCTTAACAGATTGCTTTCTTTATTGCCTTTTGGATGTAAATATAGTCCAATTTTCCTGGCTGCTTTGATGACTATGTGGATAGTGCTGGGCACCAAAGAGCCTTTCTAGTCTTTGGTGGCTGTAGCTATGCCAGTCTGCATTTTGCCCCTGGCTTTAAGGGACCAGATGGCTTTTGAATGCCATGAAGTGGACAGATGCCTTTCTCTTCTTGAAGCTAAACCTTTTTATCTTTCCAGCCAGGGCAGTGGCAGTCAGGTACTGCCTTAAATGCTGGCTTCTCTTGACAGAGGGACCAAACCTGGTTGGATATTTGGCCCTTGCAAGGCTGAAATCAGTGATCTTCCCCTGGATTTTTTTTCCCCCTGCCCTCACCTATGGGGTTCCTGTATCTGGCTCATCTTTGTACAGAGTCTGCCAATGCACTTGTTATTAATTCATTTTATCTGGGGCCAAGAAATCCCCTCAGGGTTGGGGTCTTATGGTGTTAGGGGTGCTGGCATTCTCACTCTGCTTTTATAGCACACGGACAGATGCCATGCAAAATCCCATTCGCATTTGCAGCGCTTGGATTAACAAATATGGAAGGGGGCAGGGGAACAGCCAGTGTGACAACTCTCAGCAAGATGTCCTTAGAGCTAAATTGGAGACGAGATGAGCTCATTCCAATAACTGCTAATGGAAAGCCTGATTGCAAAGGCTCCCATTGACTTTAATTGCCTTGGAAAGAACAGCGTGCACTGCGCTACGTGCCTGCCCTGCGCTGAGCAGACACTCTCTGTCTGCACACAGAGGGTTCTCCAGCTGATTTCTTCACCATTTAGTGGTATTGCTCTTCTTACTAGAATGAGGGAGGACTTCAGCCCACAGCCTTTTAAAAGTCCTCTTATTTTTTTTTTTTTTTAATCCTCCACCCTGGGAAGAAGGAAAGCTGCATTTATAAAGGCTTAATCCATGGGAGGATCAGCCATTGTCCTGAGTCTTTACAGAACATGTCTTTTGGAGGAAGCCAACAGCTGGGCATTAGGCAGGTTCCCTCTGCAGGCTTTTGCCTGGAGAAGCTCTGCTGTCCTGTTGCTTAAACCAACATGCTGTCAAGCATTATTACTAATAGCTTGAATAATTCTTGAAGGCTGAAATGAGACTGCTAACATGCTAGCCACTGAGGAGATGGCAAGTGCAAGTCTTCATCCTGAACATTTTATGAAATCTAGACTGAAAAGACCAGGGCAGAGAGACCAGCAGTGTTGTAGCATTCAAGTAATTAACAGCAGTGTAAATTGGGCAGAAAAGACTTTTAAAAGCTGAAATTCCTCCCAAACACAAAATTCCCCCTGTTCCCTCTGCCTGGTGGAACTAGAGTCCCCAGAGTCATCCTTGGGATGGCTGTTGCAACCAAGGAGAGGGCAACCACAGCTATGAAATGAAAAGCAGCTTGGGACCAAGAGACCACAGAGCCCAAATCTCATGTGCCCTGCCAGTAGATTACCCCTCCCATCCAGCACCTCAGGTCAAGTCATAACACAGACCCTGCTAGCACTACTTCCAGGGCAATGCTGAATTTCTGAAAGAGAATAAATGAGGAACCAGAAGAAAAAATCTTGGCTGTTTATCTCTCCTTGCAACATGGGGGTTTTAAATCCTGTTGATGTTAACGTATGGTGCCCAAGGTCATTGCTGGGGAATGGAGAGAATCCCTTATAGGGCAGGGTTGGAGCCTGTGGGATTACTGCCTTCCTCTGAAATAGAAAGCTGCTGAGCTGCAGTTGTTCCTTTTGAACCTAAGTCAGCCCACCTGCTCCTTCAAGACATCTCTCATATATCAGCTGAATAATCAAGTCATGAAAGTTGGGGTTTGGGCCAGGAAGGAGAAGCCTGGCTTTCTAATTTAAGATCTGCTGTGGATTTGGAGAAAGTTTTGGGGGCCTTTCCTCATCTTCTCCCCTGGCTTCAGGGCAGCTGATGCTGTTAGGAAAGTCAGTGATGCATTGCATAGAAATGGTTATATCAATGTGAGCTGCCTAACTAGGCATGTGGCTGGTTTTCATCTTAAACTAATCATCAAATTATGTTCACTCACTCATCAGTTGTATAAACCAGACACACTTTTGGGTGCTGACAAATAAGTACTTATCTCTAGGTTTATTGGTAGTTTCAGTTATTTTTGTAACTGACTGAGGCTTTGGAGCTGGCACCTTCCCACTTGTGGTAGCACAAAAGAAGGGAAAATTCCTCTGATCTTGCTGGAGTGATGGAAATGTCAGATGGGTGCAGGAAGACGCCCTGGCCTTGCCTGTCTCCCCGAGCTCTGGGGATTTTGTAATTCAGAGCTGGGACTAGGCAGCCCCTGGGTGTGCCTGTGGGAAGCAGCTGAATTGATGGGATTTATCTTTTCCAGATGATCTTTTTCTCTCCCCCTCCCTTTGTCCTCTGACATGGGTGGCAAAGGTTTGTGCTTCTCCCAAAATGTCAGTGTTGGTGGGGAGCTGGTTGGTGTGTGGGAAAGCAGGTGCTTGGCTTTTTTTGTCCTCAAATGTCAATCCATCTGCTTCTGCCTTGGTATTTTTTATGAGGTGCACTCACTAATAACGACATTTTTCTTCTTTTTCTTGTTTGTTTTCTTTTTCTTCTCTTTTGTCTAGAAACTAATTGCCAACATGTCTGATACCGAGGAAGTGTAAGTAGAGATAAAGTTGTCTGTGTGTTTATCTGCTCAGCTTGGCCCCACAGAGCAGAGCCAGGGCATCCCTGTGCTCTGTGCTCAGCCTGAAGCGCCCCGAGGCTGTGGGGAGGGAGCATGTTGACTCAGAGCATCCAAGACCCCTCCCTGTCCAGCACAGGGCATCCCCCAAGCACCTCCGCCCTGCTCAGCCTGCCCTCTGTGGCTGTGGGGCTGCACCTGGGGGAGGGGGAGTCAAACCCACACTGCAGGGGCTCTGCCTTGCTTTCACAAATCCAGAGCAGAATGACCCAACCCAATGGGATCATTTGACATTTTGGCATCAGTAGTACAGGGGGGAGATTTAGGGCAGTCGTGGGATCAGAGGAATCATGGACAGACCTGCAGACAACAGAATTTAAGCAACATTGCATTGGGTTGCTTCAGTGTATGGTTTAAAGCTTGACATCAGTACAGACGGGACAAAGACTTACCTCGTTTCAATGTCCTTTTTTCCTCTCTCACAGGGAACAAGGAGAGGGTAAGTCTTAAATCTGCCTATAATTGCTTCTGTGCAAGCCTGCAACATTTGCTGGCTATGTCAGCTGGTATGGTTACACAAATCTGAAGCTTCTTTTTGTGCTCCTGTCTGTCTGGCTGTCACCAGCTTCTGGGGTTTCTACAGTACGTGTAGCACCCTGGCCGTGTCCGTGCTGCGGGCAGCCCGTGGGGTTTCAGCCCCAAATTGATGCTCTGGTGGGAGGGTCGCTGCTAGTATTTGTAAGGGCACTGCCATCTGCTGGCAATTAGTTTTGAAGCTTCTGTATGTGTAATATATTCTGGTTTTAGAACGTAAATGCCCACAATGTTTACGAGCAACATATATAGACACTTTTCTTATATTCAGAGGCCCTCTCTGCTACCTTTTCCCTTCTAATGCACGTCTAACCTTGAGTTTCCATTGCCCAAGGAAAAATCCAATACTTTATTATCTTCTTCCCCTTTTTAGAGCTACTCTTTTTTATTTTCAAAGTCATTTAATCTTGTTATTTGACTTGCTGGTTTGCAAGTGGCCTCTCAGAAACCATCTTGCCCGGCAGCCCTGTGAGCACAGAGGGCTCTGCCATGGGTAATGTCCTACTGATGTTGTCAAGGCTGATGGTTGATTTGTCTGCTTTTTTCCCCCCTCTCCCATTTCAATGCAGAGGAGTACGAAGAAGAAGGTAACAAAAAAAGCGGAACGTAATTTATCTTTATTTGATTCTTGGCCCTGCTTTTCTCTTGTCTACATTTCACCCTTCTCTTTGGTGCTTGCTGCTAAAGGCAATCTGAAACACTTAATCAGTAAACCAGTTGGAAAACAAAAAAACAATCAAGGTTTTTGGGGCTGCCATGTGCAGAGCCTTCATGTTACAGTGAAATGGAGTATTTGTATGAGAGGATGGTGAACAACCTGGGGCTCATCTCTCCATAAACTTGGAGCTTTTCAGAGCAGGGACTGGTGCAGAGCCCCCATAACATATCATTGGTGAAATCCTGCCATTCTCATTTTGGCAGTGTCCACAGATTGCATTTAAATTTTGAAATTGAAAAGAAGAGCAGGTTGTCCAGCTCCTGAGGAGCACCCAACAGGGCACTGCTGAGGATGGAAAAGGCAAGGCAGAGAACCAACTGGCAAAGATGAAGTTTCTTACCATGCCTTTAGCTGGCAAAATGTGATTTGACAAGCTGTGAGCGACAGAGTGCTGATCTGGAAAGATGGAGCATGAAAAACCCTTCTCACCTTTTGTAGGCAGCAGGGAGAAGATAATTTGGAGATGTATCACTGTCTTTGCTGGGCACTTTTGACACACTGGCTTCAGTTCAGGCAAGTGTAGATGCCAGTTGTCATCCTTCATTTTCCCAAGGTGTCTGGAACAGGGCTAAGGGCCAAACTCTTGGAATCTCTCCCAGGATCTGCCCTTAGTGCCCAAGGCTTCTTCTAAGGGGTCAAAAGGAAAACCCTTTACTGGAGGTGGAATATTTGCACATGGAGGGTATGCGACCAGCTCAGAGTTGTCCCTGTGTAGAAATGTCCATTCTGGGGATTTATGCATAGCAGAGCTTTTTCTTTTCTTTTTTTTTATTTTTTTTTCTTTTTTTTTTTTTCTTTTTTTTTGGTCATGGATTCCTCCAAGTTGCTGCAACATGCAAATTCCCATCAGTGGTGGTGGGAGCAGAGGTGCAGCTGTGGCCATGGTGAGACTAGTGTCTGCTACTGCTATAAGGTACATTAGCCTTAAGCAACTATTTCCCCTGTCATTGCTTCTGGAGTGACCAAGGGCTCAAGAAAAAGAAAATAGAGACACTAAATAGGTTGTAGAGCTGCCTTCAGTCATTATCTGTCTCTCTGGCCCTGCAAGGAGTGGCACAGCCAGGAAGGTTGAAGGCATTTTTCATGCTCCATCCTTTACGTCTTGTCAAATGCCAAAAGAGCAAGCGAAGGGTGTTGCTCCTACAGACAAGCCTTCCTTAAAGGAAAAGCATTTTTTTCCTTTCTCCTTTCTTCCCTAACTGTCTACTTTTTGTTTTCAAGAATTTAATGACTGATATGACATTAATAGGCAGGTGAATTTCTTTTTAATCTGCATGACTGGCTCCTCTGAGGTGTATCTTCTCTTTGCTCCACTCTTTTGCTTGACCTTTGTGTCTCTTTCTGAAGTCATCCATTTCTTTTCCATGTAACTTTTCTCCATCACTTTCTAACCACCTTTTTTCTCCAGGCCTTCGCTCACCCCAGCACCAGTTTCTAACAGTTTTCTGTTTTCATTTTCCTGCTTGCTGTTGCTTCTTGTTCCATGACACTTGCCACCTGAAGCTCAGGAAGAAGGTATGTGACATGGCTTCTGCTTTCTCTCTCTCTCAGTGTGGAGGGAGAACGTGTGTAAAGAAATCCAGATCAAATATATCACACCCAGTGTCAGGACTCTGTCTTGAGCCACAGACATCAATGCAATAGTGGACATTGATGTTGTTTATTGAGCTGGTAGGAAATTTGGCCTGTTTTATTTAAACATTTTATTTTTATTTATTTAAAAAAATCAAACTAAAGCATTTATATATATGAAAGAAATAAAATGCCTTGATATATACATATAAAAATATATATAATATACACACATAAATATATGTGTGTATATGCATATATGTGTATGGAAACAAGCATATATATATTTGTTTTATTACACCTTTTATACTGAACTGTTTGGCTGATTTTTGGCACAATGGTGTCAAAATGAGTATTTTAAAGGCAGGGAGAAATGCTGCAAAATTTATATTCATCTGGTAAAATTCAGGAATTAATTTGTTAGAAATTTCAAAAATTGATAAGTGTTGGTGAAAAATTTTAACCGTATGAGCAAAAAATGTAAAGCAAAAGAAATGCAACAGTTTTATTTTTGGTTAAAAATTCACCAGAAGTTGGATTTAGGGTATTTTAGCCAGCTCTAATAAAGAATAACATATTGGGTGCCTTTTTATGTGGTTTTCACTTGTGGTCATATTCCCATATTTCAGTAACATTCATAACCCCATAATGTGCCCATAAAAATGTTATTTTTAATTCTCTCTCACCCTGTAATTCCATCATTGTGTACTCTTACCCATAATGGCCTGGGAGCTTGGCAAACCTCAGGAATGTTCCAATAACCTATTTCCTGTTTTAATTTTTCTCCTCCCATTTCTTTTGCTGTGTGATGTTTCCCACCCACAGAAGAAGCTCAGGAGGAAGGTAGGTGAAGCAGCATCTCAGCCCTGCTGGTTCCTGCACCAGCGGGATGATGTGCACCTCGATTTTGCAAGGTGGTAGAAGAAAGCAAGAGACAAGAGAAAGATGCTGGGACAAACTCTCTGAAGGCTGAGGGATTTTCTTGTCCCTTGCACAAATTTCACTGAGGGTACCCCATATCCCTGAGTATCTGTGCAGACACCTCTGCTCCAGTTCTGGGGAGGAAGCAGCACAGAAAATATGAATACCATCCCTTTATCCAAGACACAATGTGCTCTGAGGCTGATTTTTAGCCCTGGGTATTTGTGTGCCGTGGAATAACTGGGGTCTGGCTAGAAAGGTTTCTATCAGGTGTCAACTGGTTTCTCCTACGTAGCTTGGCAGATCATCATCAGATGGATTTTGAAGTCAAAATCCATCTGTGGTAAAATATGTGCTTGGCCCTATGTTATATAGTACATATGCTATAATGTCATATTATGTATAAAATATATCATATATATTATAAGTTTATAAGCTATAATATATGATATATGATGTACATAATATACATAAAAGAATTATAACCATGTAGGTGCTGGTAAATTACCCCAGCTGGCTCCACAAATTGGCAAGTCGGGACAGACGGGGTGGGAGAGGGGCTGGAACAGAAACTCACCCTTTGCACTCAAGAGGTTTGGGATGTGGTGCTCCAGGTGCAAGGAGCCAAAGGGTGTGTTGGTTCCATATTTGCAAAGCTTTGTGCTATGGGCATACTTAAACAGGGGTAAACCTGTCTCTAGTGCCACAACAGACCCACCCTGAGCAGTTTGCAGAGTTTTTACAGCATCCAGGTCCAGATGGTTTTACATTTCTTGTATCTGTGTGTGCTCTGGTCACCTGTCTCTATTTCATCTCCTCTGTTTCCTTATTTCATACATCCTGTACTTTTTTTTTTTTTAAACCCTCTGTTGCATTCACACACTCTTTAGTCTAACTGTTCTCATTTTCCATCTCATTGCTTTTGCTTCCTGCCACATCCCACCTGATGAAGCTCCTCCAGCAGGTATGTGCCATCACCTTCCAAACTGCTCCCTGCTGTCTCCGTGGTGGTGGTGGTGGGGCCTCAAGGGTGGTGCAGGAGGAGCAGTACCAATCACTTTGCCTTTTTGCCTCTGCTGTCTTTGCTTTCCACGTGCCCTCTGTGATGGGCTCTGCCGCTGGAACACACAGGAATAATCTCAGTGCAAGGTCCAGCAGAGTCGGCTCAGTGCTAACCCGGCCTCTCTGCCACGCCTGCCCTGTGCAAGGCTCACCATAAAGCCCATCTGGGCAAGGACAAGAGCTGTCCTCTAAAACTGGAACCAGAGAGATATTCCAGCATGACCTTACTGTGAGGTTTTCCCTGTCAGATACAATTTTGCTTCTTCCCTTCACATGAAGGGAAGTTGTCTCCCAGCCACAGGTGCCTCAAATTCCTTATTCCTCCTGGCCATTAGCATGTTCTTTACTGGGATAAAACTTTTCCCCCAAGCAGAATTTTCAGCCTATGACAGGTTTTCAGCCTATTTCAGCTCATGTATTAATGCATTTCTCCTAATGTTCCTTTGCATCCTGTCCCATGGCTGTTCACACCTAAAGAAGCTCAGGAGGAAGGTATGTGACATGACTCCTGAATTCTTGCCTTTAAGAGTAAGCTTTGGCTTAGCCAGCAAACCATAAGATGGCAAAAGGAAGCAGGAGTTACAAATAGGCATATTAATATAGACAACACTTGCCACCATTTTGTTTTTTGTACTGTCGTCACATTCTGTCTTGCCATTGGATGTGCTGTCCATGTATGTGGTAACTGTCGCATGAAATAAAAGCCTGAAAAGTGCTGGGAAATGTAAACCTCTTAAAAGGATGAATGTTGAAAAGTCTCTACTCTGAGACTGGTTGGGTCTCCTTGGCAGGCTTATTTTGGTCCATTTGGGGTGGATCTGCCCTGCAGACAGAAATGCTCATGATTGGCTGATATTCTTACAATAGTCTTTCCACGTCTTTTTTTTTCAGCTTAAACCCTGTGGTATAGGGCAAATGGTGATAAATTTGATGCTTTAGCTTTGCAAATGATTAAAGATGGTATTCTTGTTCATATAATGGAGTTTCTAGGCCACTGTTTCATGGCAGTACTTGCAGCTACCCAAAACCTGCTGGCCTCAGGATGTAAATCCACTTGGGCAAGCATCAGGGTTATGAAACAGCATGCTGCTCCTGGCTTTGGGCAGGACTGCAGGAATGGTTGTGTAAGACAAATATAATCTGATATGACTGCTTAAATCAGCTTTATGTTTTTAATATCTCAGACCATTTGCACCCTCACTTCCAGTACTGCTTTTAGTATCCATACTCATTTTATTTCCTTGCAATGTATTCTTAGTCTTTCCCTCCCCCTCCATTTTGCCCAAGCAAAAAGTTGTTCTGATGCTCCTAACA